TTTTTTTCTGACGTTTGCGAGTAGGCATTTGGCGAGTAGTGGAACGCGCTCGGTGACTTACTGAGCCTCAGGACGACCGTCAAAAAAACAAGTGAGGATGAAAATCTGGGGGGTCCACGTTATGAAAAAACATCACGTCGGGTGTCTGAGATTGGGGATCTAAAGTCAGAGGCTCAACGTTGCCGAGCATCGCTTACCCGATCCCTACCCCAACTGGCGTGGCTTTGGCCACACTGGCCGATGTACCCCCCCTGGACGGGGACATGCGCTGTTCCCTTCGGGTTTCGCGTGGCCTCTCCCCAACTGGGTGGTAGGGGGTGGGATGGGGCGGTTGAGATACCACGGCCCAGTGGAGATGGGGATCGGCTCAACGATACTGACCTTCGTCGTTGCTTGAAGGCTCTCTCGCCTCGGGATGCCTTCCAGCAGCTGCGCTGAGGTTCTGGGGATGCCGGAGCCGTCCGAAGCAGCCGCCTGGGGCCCGAGTGGTGGCCCGAATAAAACAGGGCTAGGATCGGGATAAATCGCTCCAGAGCGTTCCGGAGCGCTCTCAGAGCGTTCCGGAACGCTCTGGAGCGGCCGCGGCGCCCAATACATCCTCCAAACCCGCCGCTTCTCAGAGATTTCGAGTTACCCCGATCCGATTTTGTCCCGATCTTCGCGTCGTTTGACCGAAGGCCGACCTCCTCGTGCCGCGAAGGCAGCACGACGGGCAGCGCGGCGCCCTCCTCGGCCTCCCGGGGGCCCCGGGGCCGTGAGAGCGCGGCTCGGGACGCCGAGGCGGACGCGGGGCCGCGGCGCCTGGACCTCGGGGGGCCCACGGCGCGAGCAGCGTCGCGGCGTCGCGGGCATGGGCCCCCTCCCACGATCTGAACTCTTGCACTTTTCGATGACTTTTTTTTCTGATGGCGCGCCCCTGTTCGTTGCACTTTTCGATGACTTTTTCTTCTGGATTCTTGCTCTTTTCGATGACTTCTGTTTTGATGTCACTTGCTTCGTCAGGTTGGTGGGGTGCTTGGTGCTGCTGCATGGAAGGCGCCCGGCCCCACCCCGGCCCGTCGCCTCGCCCGCCTCGCGCCGTCGAGTCCCCGCCTTCTGCTGGGCCTCCTCTGGGGCGCCCTCGCGGCCACGCCCGGGCGTGTGGCTCGGGAGGCCGAGGCGGGGTGTGCCCCCCGGGAGGGGCAAGGACCGGTCGGGGGGCCCGCCTGCACGGGATGTCCGTCCTCTCAGGAGGAGGAGGAGGGGGAGGAGGAGGAGGAGGAGGAGGAGGAGGAGGAGGAGGAGGAGGAGGAGGAGGAGGAGGAGGAGGAGGAGGAGGCCCGGCGCCGTCCTCTCCCCGGCGCCGGACCTCGGATCCGCCGTGCCCTGGGGTGATTTCGCGGGTCGGGCGGGAGTGTCTGCCCTGCTCTCTGCGGCTTCCGCCCAGGGCCTTGCCGGCGCGGCCTCTGTCACACCCTTGCTCCTCAGTATCCGCCCTGGGCTGCTGAGGCAGAAAGAGCCGCCCTGCCGTCGAGGTTGATTGGAGAGGACACGCGAGGGGACACAAGACCCTTCCGAGGGCCACGTTGCCGTAGGAATGTAGCAGGCGTGGGTCGCGACACACAGGACACCAGGGCAGCCTTGCTCTCGCAGGGTCGACCTACTGAGCAGCCTCGACTGTGCTTTGTCGCATCGCGTGGGGTGCACTCCCGACACCATTTTTGTTAAGGCGGAGGAGATCGGCCACAAGTACGGCGGATCCGAAGCCAGGTTCGCCGCGCCTCGCCTCCTTCCTCCGGCCCCCGCCGCTGCTGTGCACTCGCTGGCCGACACCTCGAGCGCGTGTCTCTCTCTCTCTCGAGAGAGAGAGAGAGAGAGAGAGATCGGACAAGTAGGCGGACCAGGGTCCGTCCGCGAGGCGCACTGCGGTGCGACAACTCGCATGCACTATTTGCGGCGGTGCAGCCTTAAGATACGAGGGCGGGCTACAAAACCCCCTCCCCCGGCGCAGTGCGACTGACGCTACAGACGGCGGACAGACGATGAAGATCTCACCTGACAGACCGCGTGAGGTAAAAGGCCCCAACAAGAAAGGCGACGTGCTGGCACGTGGCTAGGCGGCTTGGCGGACCGCCAGTTGGGCGCTTGGCCGCTAAGCGGCGCGCAGTGACGGGGCACCCCCCGCCCCCACGCCCTGACACCGTGGACGCGGAGCCACACGTACACACGGGCAGGCAGAAAGGAGGAGATTAGCGCGGGGCACCAGGTGGAGCGCCGCGGAACGATGACAACATAGCTTGAATGTTGAGTGACGGCACGACACCATCGGGCGAGGTCGTGAGCAGCTCGGCGAAGGCTCGCCCAGCGCTGTGGAGGCGCTGGAGTAGAGGTCCTTGACGAGCTTGGGCAGCGGCGCGGTCCGCGGCGAGAGCTAAGCACCTCTGCTGAAGGGCAGCCATAGCCTGTGACAGCTCGGTTTCACGGTCGGTGAGAGGTGGCTGCTCAGTGACATCCGCCGAGGATCCCGAGACAGAGGCGAGGTCCTCGGTACGCCTGTCCAGGTGGGCTAGCGGCGTGCGGGACCCTGAACGCTGATGTCCGTCACCCTTGAAAGGTGAGTGGAGGGGCCGGCGCGACCCCAGGGCTGGAGCCGCTAGGGCCGCGCCCCGAGAGGTCAGGGGAGCCGCTTCCTCTCGCTCAGCAACGGAGGAAGCGTGGGTGGGGCACGAGGGCCTGTCTGGTTTAGTACCCTGCGGGGGGGCTGAAGCCGCCCCCGCGGGTCGCTGGCGATGGGGAGGCGGAGTGGTATGCGCGGTGGGACCAGTCGTGATGCCGTGCAAGGCCGCTGAGGTCGGTCGCGTAGAGGGTTGGTGTCTCGGTGGGGCGGCATGGTCGGCAGCGTATGGTGTCGGCGGTGCGTCCTCAATGCCACTCAGTCCTCGGGGGGCACCAGGGTCGTGGTCGGCGTCTTGGCGGTGACCGATGTCGCCGTATGTGGGCGTTAACGCTCTTGGGGGCGGCGTCGCAGTGGGGTTTGCGAGGTTTCCCGACGGGGCGGGGTTTTCGTTGGCTGGTCCGTCGTCCAAAGCGTCCGATCCCCCACCGAGGCTGAAAAGGTCATCGTCCTGCTCATCAGCGTCTTGAAAGGAACGGCGTTGTCATGTGGGTGGGCTGACGCGCTCAATGGCGGAGTCGGGGGCGCCGTGCGGGTGCCCGCCGGGGCAGGGTTGGCGCTGGCTGACTCGTCGCCCAGGAAGTCCAAACCTCCACCAAAGCCGAACGGGTCGTCCTCCTGTTCGTCGAATAACACCCGTTGGGCCTCGGCCCAGAGCTCGTCGGGGTTTTGTGGGATGTCTGGTCCAGCCGCGGGTGGAGCCTGGTCAGACAGCAGGGGATTTGGTTCCATTTTGTTTAGTTCTGCAGCTGTGAACCCAGCCCTGCGGTGTGGGAGAGGAAGTGTACGATGTCTCCGCTCGTAGATGGCAACGGCGACTCCATGGAGCACGGTCGCTTGGCGATGTCGTGCTTTGGCAGCTTCAACGATGTCGTCTGGAAGGTTATGAGTACGTGCCGCCGCTGTGGCGAGGGCGTCAGCCTGACGATTGAACTCCTCCGCGATGGGCCCGATGAGCCCGAGGTCGATGCCCGTGTCGCCCTGGTGGCTAGCGACTTTCTCTACGCGGAACATGTTTGGCTTGGCCATGACACATCGGTGGACCTTTTCCCAGAACTCCACGTGCGTGCCCTGCGGAGGTGAGTGTCCGTCGATGATCCTTTGGAAGCCGTCGACCACCGCCTGGTTGTCCACGAAGACGTGTACGGGCCGTTCAGCACATGCCGTGAGGTGGACAATGGCGAGGGTCTCCGCAAGCTGTGCGTTCTGCGTGATGCCGTGAACGCGCGCACTGTAGTTCATGCGGTGGTCGATGCCGTAGTAGACGCCGTAGCCCGCTCTTGCAAGCAAAGGGATGGCTTGGTTGGTGCATGCACCGTCCGTGGCAGCGTAGACCCATGTCCAACCAGTGTCGTGGTCAAGGTAGGTGGTGTAGGAGTCCTGGGCTGAAGCCGCAGGATCTCCCTCTGGCGGGGGCCGCGGCATGGGTTGAGGTAGCGGGTCCCTCGCGAGGTCGGCTTGCAGATCGAGGAGGGCTGGGTCCTCATCGAAGAGCCCGCAATGTCTTGTGTGCGGAGGAAGACGGGCCCACTGCTCGTCACTGATGAGGGTGGTGAGAGGGACTCTTTCACGGGCCCAGCACTTGCAGTCACGCACAGTGTGCTCCTGGGTTTCCTCTTCCTCATCACAGTAACGGCAAAATAGGGCTGGGGTCAGCGGACGTATTTGATCGAGAACGTCGCTGTTGGGTGTGGTCCCCGCCCGACAGGTAATTTAAAAGGAGCGCCAGCTGCCATGCGTTGCATTTGGCAGCTCCTTTGGTGCGGGCGAGCCACGTGCTGGCGAAAAGGTCGAGGCCCTGTCTGACCGAAGCCAGGTGTCCAAGGTCATGACGCCGTGGCTTGATTTTTCTCAGAAAGGCTCTGCGTTGCGAGGCGCGCAGCATGTGAAGGAAGGCGTTTTGGGGAAGGTTCAGCCAACTGATCTGACAGCCCCAGTCGTCGTACATGGTGCCAAATGTGGGCCAAGTCCAACGGAGCTGCTGAAGCGTCTGGACAAGTCGTCCAACAGGTCCTCCCCCAAAAGGGTCTGGACATGGTGTTGGAGATCCCTGACGAGGCCGCAGAGAGTGGCGTCGCGGTTGACCTGTCGCCGCAGGCACAGGAAGACTTCACGCTGCATAATGGCGTCAATCTCCAGGGCGTGCCCTGGGA